TAATATTTTAAGCAACGCCTTAAATATTTAAACCTAAATAAGCAAGATAGCTGTTTTAGTGAGCGGTATTAATTTTCGTAAAGTCTCAACGGTCCTAGGTTCGAGTCCAACCTAAGGCGTAACTTTTTTTCAACAATTCTGATTTTGTAGTGTCGTAGTTCTCATTTACCTCCACATTGTATTCGACAAAAAACCAAACAACTTATCTATTAGCAACTAGCATGAGATAAAACAACAATCTCTGAATAAATTGGTCCATATATATTGTTAAAGGAATAAAAACTATGATATAATTCAACATCTTCAAAGTTGGATCAATGCTATTCAATAATTTAGTCCACTATTATTTTTATCTTTAATAACAATAAATATCTTTTTTTGCATTGACATTTATTCTTCAATTTTTAATATTATAATTGTCCATAACTATAATGTGATACAAAAGGTTGCATTGAGGATCCACGAGAGCGTTTTCTTTAGAAACATCAACTACGATACCACAAATATCCAGACATTCTTAAGCGTTGTTTTTATAGGATGTTTTTGTGATCATTCTTTTCGGAAAAACTTATCATCAACCGTCTTTAAATAAATCGCATTCACTCCATGTGCGCATCTAACAAAGTTTCACAATAAACTAGTAACTCTGTTTCCATCCGTACTATAAAATGTTTTGAAGATTTGTAAAAAAAAATCAAACTTACAAGCATTTTTAACCAAATAAATGTGGGTCTTCATACTATCATAATTGCAGATGTTGACAATACAACGATAGTACACTTATCCAGTACAAAGAGACTGTGAGAAAATAAAAATAAAAATAACATCCAACCCGTTTTCTGGTTTATTAGTACAAAATAGAGGGGGAAAATAATTTCCTTATAAATAAAAATACGTCATCATTTTATTATTTAAAGGGTCATATCGAATCAATTCTGTCTATAAATAAATGCTATGTATTTAATTGGAATTATTTATAGAATATAATTAAGATTATAAAACAGAACAACTAATAAGTCCAGATAGAGCACTAAAAGTAAGTACAAAAAAAAAAAAAAAATGGTTAATTCCCAGAGCAAAACGGACGTCGAAATTACCGCAACGAAGTGGAGGTCAAATTTCGGTCACGTTTTGTCTTGGGAATTAGACAACGCCTGAATCGGTCGGCTACTTACTCCGCGGTTTTTACTGACTAAGAGCACTATCCGTTTCTCGGTTGACTAAAATGACAGTGATGTGCTAAGTGCACTATCGGGGGTTTTTTTTTTTTTTTTTTTTTTTTTTTTTTTTTGCCCACTTTCGGTGTTTTTTTCTTTCTTTGCCTAAACCCAGTACACTAACAACACACAATGTCAGGTCAAAACATTGTTATAACAGAAGATTACATTCCTTAAGAAATGCCGAATTATATTAAGACGTAAGATGTAGCCGATTGCTAAATAACTGAATATGATTTTTAGTTCACAATTTGTCTCAAGCTTTACGGAGAGTGGAACAACAAAAATACTCATAGGCCCAAAAAAGGACTACACCCCGTTTATTGTATGCTGGAGCAAGAACCCAACTAGTCCTCATTGTGGGAACACTGAGAAGCCATCTATCAGGGTTACGCCTAGTGGAGACATAAATTATAGACAGGCGCACTCGAATATAAACAAGGTCTGATTATCTGCTGCTGAGGTTATAAAAACCAAGAAGACCCGACTTGATTTTATTTGATGTAGCTTTTGCAATGGCCAAAAACTTAAAGGGTGTGAAGACTTTAAAGACCCTGGTTTATCTCTTGAAAATCAGACTGATAATATCCTAAAAAATACAAAGAACCTTGCTTTTCGAAGAGCAGGGTAGACGATGTAATTGTACTAGACGTAACGACAATCACTTTTCCGAAGTCTTTATGCACACAAACTCTGTATTCGGTAATGAAGATATGTGTCAAATAAAATGCACTACCAACATCGTCAATTATATTTTTTTTGTTGTAGGTAAATTGGCTTACAGCGGACACTTTTTGCCGTTATCCGATGCCGAACACTCTGGTAGCTCTTTTGTGTTCAATACTTTACGACTCTCATGCGCTACTTCACCACCAAAAACCCTTTATTATTTTCATTTCCCTCATTCACAAAAATAGGAGCAAACCATTTTTTTTGTTCGTATATCACCGCAAAGTAATACCTGATCCATTGTTTGATTTAAACTTATAGTAACAAATGATTTTCAAGGGATAAACAAACTTCCATATGTCTTGATTAAAAGAATTCAAATCATGTTCTATAAACGGACATATAACATTTTGCTTGATCGTGATGATGCTTCAACCAAACGTTATGCAGGAATTTTGTCTAGATTTGATTTGAACTACTTTTAATATCTGTGTGCTTTGATGATGTAGTTATGCTGTAGCAGTTTATTCAGTGTTGATGTGTGCTATCTCTGATTTTTGATCAGTGCCCATCATGCGTTATGAGATAACTTCATAATTAAAAGAGAGGGGAAAATTACGTCGATTTAACACATAATTATTGGTCAACGTCGTTATCCATAGAAACGGAAAAGGTACTGGAGAATTTTATTTCCCTTGTTCGTTTGCCTTTTCTTAGATTTAAGCTTGTTGTTTTTCTTCTTGTTGAATGATTAGAAACCAGTTTCCAAAATTGTCTTTTCTAAACACGGAAGAGGTGGAATATACGACATGAGGTGTAACTGAAACGGTTTCAGGTCATAACGTCGAACGAGTGACTTTATTGGTCGCAGCATAAGGAGTGACATGGGTTGAAATTTAAACGCTGCGTTTCCTTCTATTTTTGTACACCGACCAAAAAAATAGCTAAGGAATGACCATCATCGCAAGAGAGTATGTCAGATCTTATTCTGAACAACGTTGGTGTTAGTTAACAGTTTTTGCCTTTACGATTGACAGTCAATTGTGTTAACGCCACTAAGTTCTTCTTTGTTCGTCATTTCTGTGTAGAACCAACTTTTTGCAAAAGCTAAAAATATTTTTTAAAGACGGCCCGTTATCCTTTTGTGACTTGTCTATTCAAGCGCCAACACAAAAAAAACGCACGTCTTTCATTTTTTCTTATTCTGACAAGAAACATTGTTGGAAAGATGTCCCACGTCATGCCACCTTTGAAAACTAGGTTGAACAGGTAAATATACTTGCATGGGGGATCGCAATCCTTTTTGTTCTAATTTCATTTTTAGCTTCTCAAATTTTAAAACATTTTCAACCGTTCATTAGGTAGTTTGGGTACTTGATCGTGAGATCCGAAAGCATATAACTGCACCAAATTGACAACAAGTTCTCATAATACGGTCACTTTTGGTAAAGGATCCCAAGCGACAAATTGGAATTATAGGCCAATGTTAGAGTCTGTCTCTAGACGATGCAAAAGAAGATGAATTATTATTGAGGATCATGAAAAAATTCAACGTCGATATCCCTTTAACGACGTATTTATTTACAATAAGCAGTAAATAGGTCTAGTCGACAAAGGAGACCAGGAGAAGTCAAGGTCAAAACATATTGTTGAGTTCAAACATGCAGCCAATACAGCAAAAAGCAGCGGACTCAAACGAGAGGGGATTCAGAACACAGGAGGACAGAAGATTACAACGCATACAAAAATAATATTTCGTGGATAAGGGTGTGATATCCCAACAAATAGAGGTATATTTCGACTTGATGATACGAGCATGATAAGAAATAGGACAATTACGTGTTGAAAAAGTAATGGGGGTACGAATGAAAAAAAAAATGTACGTCTTGTCGTGATCGAGGCTATATACTTAATATATGACTCTATCTACACTTCTTAAATCTTCCATTTGATAATCCTAAATATAATTCTTATTGGTACTTTATATTAAATACTGATCATTTACTTTATGTACAGTCTTGATCTCATATCATCCTTCATACAAGTATAAGGCATACATTTAAATAATAACATAATATGAAAACATATGAAGGTTACATCAGCCACGTTGAGGTGCCACAGCTATCTTTAATAAGAACTACATTTTCCCCTGAATGTTGTGCTACAAGACATACACGGTTTAAGAATGAATGTTATTGTTATTGTTATTGACATCTCATTATGGTCTTTCTATATGGGATCATTACATCCGAGTATTATCTGGATAAATCTACCCACAACCGTCATCAGCCCATCTGTGATCAATGTCTGAAATAATGTGTATATAAAGACCCCCATTTATTTGTTTAATAAAGCTTTAGTTTATTTTTGCAGTTTGATAATTTCACTTTGTTAAATTTTACATTTTATTCTTAATTCGCTATTATCACTCTCGAATTTCTCACGTCTACGGTAAATATACTTCACAAGGGCAGGAGAGGATGCAAAACTAGTTTTAGATAAAAGCGTGTAATTTCCTTGAGTGTAAACTTCGTTGGAGGGTGTAATATAGAAAAATGACAACAGCAATAAATTAGTACAACGGCAATAAATTAGTACAACGACAATAAATTAGTATACAGAAAACAAAGAATGTGTTTGTTTTGTTTTCTCTTGTTTGTTTGATTAACTAAATATGTCTTGGACACGAGAGGAACTTTAAACTGTAGCCTTAAAACATTTAATAATCGAATACAGGTAATGGCAGTTGCAGCTAATTATGCGAATTATTTGGACAGGACGTGTAGTTAGCCCTTTGGTAAAAAGGAAAGGGCATTTAAAATCACATTCATAAGGATTTACGATACGGTAATTGTTTTCGTGTTTTGTAGATTTATTTCCTTTTACAGAATTCTCTTTTATCAATGACCAAATAATGATAAGGTCAACGTTTTGAAGCTTTCATACACGTTCTATAATGAGAACACCAAGTCTCTTTTAAAATCCAGCGAACAAAAATTGCCTTTAAAGCCATTTTGATTGATGTCGTTATCCTTATTTTACTAAGAAAAAAAATCTTTCTCAAAGTAAACAGTAGGCTTATTTTACGGTCTACCTCCAACTAGATGTTGTGCCATAGTCAAAGCTTATGATTCAATACTTTTTGGCTGTACCTAAGAGATCACATGTTGTAGTGATTGTCCGTTATGCGCTTTAAACCATGTAAAAATAAACAAATAAATATTGACTTGAAACTTTTGAAAGTGTCTGACCTGTTAATAGCGTATTGAGTAGAATATAAAAAGGTTCACATACCCAAAAGTCAAACGTTTGGCGACGAGGTTTATGAGGATGAGAAATAATTTTAAATGACTTACATCAACAGTGAATGTCTTATACGTTCCGGCAGGTAGTATATAATAGAAAGTGTTGTATATGGTATACCTCAAACGGTGTATACTGAGCCACTCAAAATTGTTTGTTATTACGCAGCTTTTAGACATAGCCACGAAAACACGTCTTAGGA